ACAATCTGATTTATTTATATTTAAAATTTATATTACAGTTTAAAAATTAAATTTAAAATATATTTGACAGTAAATTTTTAAATTAAAATTTTTTAAAAATACAAATATTTTATGCGTATTAATACCAAAATTAACTTTTATTATTCAATTTTTTGATCAACAGAATAGATGAACAATATGAGTTCAAATTTTCTCATAAAATTTTAACAAAAAAATTCTCTAATTTTTTTTGTTTTAGTGTGCGGCTAATTTCTCAACTCGTCTGTGTATATTGGACTCTCCCTTTAGACGTCCAAATCTATTTGGATTGATCTACCTCTTTTTTATTTCTTTTTTATTTACATATATATATGTTTTTTATTTAATTATTATTATTTAATAAAACAATTTTATAAATCAATTTAATTTTAAATTAAATTTTATAATAATCTCAATTATTATAATAACTACACATTATATTATTACACTATTAATATAATAACTCAAAAATATAAATATTAATTTTCTATTTCAAAAATAAAAAAATTAATTTGTCTCTAATATTAATTATATTTTTAGTACTAATAAAGAATATAATAATATTATATTTAGACCAAAAATTTTATTTATTTGATTAAATTAAAATTTTTAATTTAATTCTCAAATAATTAATCTATTTAGTGAAAGTCAAAACACTCATTAGTGTGCGACTCCATAGGTTTAACACTAAACCGATAGCAAATTGGTCAAACTAATTTCCTAATTAAGGTTAACATTTAGCAACACTCTTCAACGACCGGATAACATAAAATGTACAATTACTCGTAAGAACCTGCTAAAGAAAGATGTAATATTTCATTCTGTCATTATTGCTCTGGATTAACCATAGGATATGGTTTATCTGTCAAATTTCAATAGGTAATTGACTATGCTACATGTCAATTATAATTGATTAATGAATGATATAAGAAAATATTTTTTTCTTTCATTCAACTGCCCTGACCAAGGTCTTAATTTACTCGTTATAATAAATGACAGCATAGAGCTTAAACTTATTATCAAAGTTGATAGATTCTATCTTGATCAATCATTAATTCTACAAGTTTTTAATCACACTCAATATCCTTCAATTACAGTTATATGACTATAAGTGTTCAGAATCAAAATATAATAAATGACTTATAAATTATTATGATGATTTCAGATATAAGAAAATTCTTATGTCTCATCAAAATAAGAGAATACTCTACTGACAGTTTAAGGCAATATTAACCATTAAAAATTCTTAATTGGGTCGACTAAATTATTATATTTCCATATGCATCATTTATATATGTGATTTAATTAATAAGATCAACTAATTTTTATCTTATAAAGACTATTACATGTATATTAGTCTTACCGGATTATTAGTATTATATTTTGATGATCTAATGACTAATAACATTTTAAATTAAATCATAGAAGATTTTACTCTCATTATCAAGATCTCTATTTTGATGTAAAACTTATAAATTAATCAAGAACTTTATTACAAAAATTAAACGATAAGATAATAAAAATACTATTGTCATATATTAAAATAAATTGTCAAATAATAATGTATTTAATATATTATACGAATAATTGGATCGTGAGCATAATACTTATATCCCTAACAATCTCCCACTTGCACTAGATCTAATTTTTCATGTACTTCATTCCTAACTTCCCGTTATGTTGGTCAAACTCCTTTGCACTAAGAGCCTTAGTGAACAGGTCATCTGCATTATCATTTCCATTAACTTTTTGAATTTTAACGTCTCTACGTTCAATGATTTCTCTAATCAAGTGGTTGGACTTTTGATGTGATCTCAGCTCCTTTGCTTAAATGATCGCTCCAATATTGTCACACAATAATGGAACTGGACCTTCTATTGAAGGAACCACACCAAATTTAGTTAAGAACTTCATCCAAACAGCTTCCTTAGCAGTTTAACTTGTTGCTATATATTTTGTTTCGGTCACTGAATCAGCTACCGTAGTTTGTTTAGAACTTTTCTAACTCACTGCATCACCATTTAAAGTGAAAACATAACCAGATATAGATTTGCTATCATCTTTGTCTGAAGCAAAACTTGCATCAATATAACCTTCTACTTTTAACTCAGATTCTCCATAAATGAGGAATTAATCTTTAGTTCTTCTCAAGTACTTAAGACTAGTCTTTACCACTTTTCAATATTCCTCACTAGGATTTGTCTGATATCGGCTAGTCACTCCTAGTGCATAAGCCACATCAGACGTGTACATGTCATGATATATATGATAGCTCTCA